ACCAATTATTATCCTAGATAGGCAACCTAAGAAGGGGTGAATTGAGCTTCTAAATAAATTACCAAATTAAAAATTAACCCAAATAATAAATAAATAAATATGCTCAATAATATAAAATAAAGTAATGAAATAGAATGAGCAAAGAGAAGAGAAATCAAATATTGCGATTTATAGTGGTTCGACACGCCAAGTCTATATCCACTGCCCAAGTATCCTCCTTGGGAATTTTTCCACTATTCTTCAAATAGTAATTACACCACTAGCTTCACGGGTGCTAGTGAACCTTTACAATAAGTGACCAATCCCGATCACTCTCACTAGTTTAGAATTTGGTGCCTAATCACACCTAACCCAAGTGGTTTTGTCCAAAAAAATTACTCACAAAAACTCTTTCTTTTTACAAGTATAAAATGAATAAGAGATATAAAACCCTTTTACAATCTTCCTCAAACTCTCAATAAATTTTTTTACAGAAAATATAACTCAGTGAAGCACAATACAATATTTGAGAATATTTCAATATCACAAATTTTTCTCTTCTTCACTTCTTATTTTTCTCCAACTAAAACACTTCTCCTATATCATGAAATTTTATCCGTTGACTCAAATCCATTGGAGAGAGGAGGATGCTCCTCTTCAGATCACTGATTTCATGCCTGACACTCTTCATTACGGGCGCACGAGACCTTTTCCATTTTCAAAAATTGCAGCTCAGAGGTTTGAAACAATTGGTCAAACATCGCTTTCGATAAATAGTGATACAAATGTTTCAAAATTTTTACCGTAAAAAACAAATGATGTACAGTGACTGCATAGTAACTTTTCTATTAAAATATTTAAATGCACAGTGACTTCTCTTTTAAAATATTTGAATGCACAGTAACTTCACTATTAAAATATTTGAATGCACAATGACTTCTCTATTAAAATATTTGTATGCATAGTAAAATCTCTTAAAAAATTTTGTAGAGATTTTAAATACACTGTAATAAAAAAAATGACCCATCACCTATGTGGGTGTATCAAGTTTTGTCAAAAAATAACAACTCACCAAAATCAAATTCGTTAAAAGAAGACAACTTATCAATATCAAATTTGTCAAAAGATGAATAGTGTTCAACTGGAGTTTTCAAAATAGTAAATAGTAAAATTTTCAAAATATTTCAATTTAAATAATATTTATAACAAATATATCATACAACATTTATTTTAAGTAAATAATATTTTGTGTCAAACAATATAAAATATGTATATTAAAAAATCATAATTTATTACGTAATATTTTAGTCATTATCAAAATTAGACCACATGATTGACAAATTGAACTAGTTATAGTTATCGAATCGACTTAATTTTTTTTATGAATGAAATACACGAAATGCTTGATAAAATGAACGATTTAGATTGTCAAAACAGAACCCGTGGTGGGTCTCATGAGCCCAAACAATCCACTGCAGTGTAAAATTTTAAACTGGAGAGAATCCTCCTCTAACAAAATAATATTACCAATTTTTTATTTTTTAACAAAATAACATGCTAATTTTATTACTGTTTTAACACTAAACATTGAAGATGCTTAATTATGAATAAATCTAATTAGTCACTTCTATACACTTTTAATTGAAAAATCAGAAGATTAGTTCGTATAAAATGTAAAGGTTCATAATTTTTCTGTATTGTAAAACTCTGTGTTGAAGTTTGGGCTTTCTAATAAGGCTTGAGCAAGCATAGGTCTACGTTTTGCATGTCCGATCTAGAACGTGAACCTAGTAGAAAATAAAGATTAGGGAAAAAAAGCGAACTCAAATCTCTGTTAGAGCATCTCCAGAAGCCTCTTCATTCCTCTATTTTTGTTACTATAGCTAGCTAAAACCAGAAAATTCATCTCCAGCAGCCTCGTCGGTGGCTAGCTACTTTGATTTTCTGCTACAGTACCTCACCAGGGAAGACGAGACACTGTTCAGTAGCCTCTCAATTTTTTAGGAAACTTTTTAGTAGGTATGCTGATCCATGAAAGAATGAGGATGGATTGAGAGGATGGATTGAGAAGTGCTACTTTCATGGGAATTCTAAACAATTTGTAGAAATCGTGGATGCGAATCGGAAACAAACACTCTTGTTTTGGTGCTCGATGGAGGGGGTTGGTTGTGCCTATGAGTGTGGTGATGGTCTTCATTAGTTTCGTAAAGACGGGTAGCGATGCTTTTCAAGACCGGCAAGGTGTTTGACAAAATACCCCAATGATGAAATGGCCACCACGGTTACACCTTGACAACTCTTCTTTGTTATTCTTTATCAGCACCATCACTGTCCCATGTAGTTGTGCGGTTTTAAGAGATGCCCACAAGGTGTTCGATGAAATGCTCTAAATTGTGGGAAGTGCCACATTTTTGTATTAATTCTGTGCTTGTATTTATTAATATTTTAAAGGAAATAGTTAAAGTTGAGAGTGTTGTTGGAATGTGTATTGAAAAAATGGTTAGCTAAACTAAGGCCTCGTTTGGGAACAGGCTAATTTAGTAATTTTTTGGCTATTTGGCTAAAAAGGTAGGTAAAAAAAACTTGTATGTTTGAGATGATTTTTTGGTTAATTACGAAAAGATGTGCAAAAAGTAGAGAGAAAAGAGAATCTTTGACTTTTTGGTATGAGTTGTTGGTTTTTTTGGCTAATTTAGTAACTTTTTGGCTAATTGACTAAAATAGCCTCTTGCCAAACGAGGCCTAATAAAATGAAACTTTGGGTAGCTAATCTGAGGATGGTTGCTGGAGATGCTCTTATTGGGCTTAGGTGACAATTGGCACACTAGTCCATAGTCCATAGTCCATATGAGCCAGGCCTACTAGGTTACAAACCAAGACCTGAACCTAAGATTTTTAGCCCTTAGCAACTCAGCCCAATTTCAAAACTTAATCGTCGATTTCCCATACTACCACACAAAACTTTAGAAAACATACGTATTTTTTTTTTAAGAAAGGAGAAAACTTAAGGTGGAATTTTTATGTAATACTTTCTTTTATTATGATTAAGGTCAAGCTTGACAAGTTGAAAAAAAGTTAAAAAGTCAAAAAATTACTCAAAAAGTTAAAAAGTTATCACTATTTACCAAAAGTAAAAAATTACGGCTGCATAACTCTCAATTTTAATTTTTCCCTATACACTAATTTATACAATTTTTTAATATATATTTTTTTTCATAAAAAGTCAAAAAGTTAATTCAAATATCCATATTTTTTTTTTCAATTTTTTAGTCTAAAAAGATAAAAAAAATGTACTTATTTAAGACACCCCAAACAACTCCTTAAATTTGAGAGTATAACTTATTATATTTATCATAGGTGTTTGGAAAATAATAAAGAATATATACATTTATGGATAGTGAAAAGTATCACTCGACAGTCCCAAGTAATATCTACCTATTATACAAAAGTTTCTTATATTTAAGAGTGTGATAGTGGAAAATAAAGAAAGATGGAAGGGAGGGGAAAAAAGGGGATCCGGGGATATTCCTCTTTTTGTTAGAGATAATATTAGGCTTAGTTTGACATTTTTAAAAAAAATTAAAAAGTTAAAAAGTTGCTATTATATTTAAGTTACATTATCTTATTTGAGTCACATCACCTTGCTATCACATCACTTCAAATTCAATATATATTTTATAAAAAGTCAAGAAATACACTTATTTAGGATATTGCTTATTTTTTCTCCTCCAATCCTAGTATCAAAATTATATCAAATGAGGGAAAAAAAACAAAAGTTTCATCAAATTGAGGGAGGCTTTAACATTCATCAAATTTTTGGAGAAAGTCGTTGCGCTTCATTGTACATTGGACAACCGACCGATTGCCCTCCCGGACAACCAATTACTTGCCAAAAATGCTTCGGACCCCTACTGGGGGTCGACCCCAGTGAGGTGGCGGGCGGTGATTGGACCAAAAAAAAAAACTGTTTTATTTTTATTTTATTTTTTTTGGGTTTCGACCAGTGGGGGCACGCCACCTCACTGGGAGTGCGACCCCCATTGGGGGTCTGTAGCACCATTGATTACTTGCAAAGTTGCCCATTGCTCTGCCCATTGACAATTGACTACCTGAACATCTCCCGACGGATCGATTGTATGATAAAAATAAAAATTTTAACGTTGAAATGTTTAGTATCAGATGAAGTTTTTAACCTAAATCTTGTTTAAATTTGATAAAAAAAAAAAAGTGTTAAGCGTTGGAGATGTTCTTAGACTATCTTCAACGATGCATCAAAATTTTCATCAAATTTGAGTAAAAAATTGAGTAAAAATTCTATTTGTTATCAAGTGTTCCAACGGAAATTTTTGAAACTTCATCAAAACACCAGTTGAATGACTGGGCGGATGTTCAATCAGTCAACCGGTCAGTATAAATTTTTCACAAATTTTTATCTTAAGGCGGTCATCTGAGAGATTGATTGGATGGATGATTGGGAAAACGACAGGCCAGTATAATTTTTTCACAAATTTTTGTCTTAAAGTGGTCATCCGGTGATGAAAATAAAAAAAATAAAATCTAAATTTAATACTTATTTGATGAAACCATTAGAGTAAAAAAAGACACAATTTTTCATCAAATTCAAATTCAAATTTAATGAAATGTTTGAATAACCATTGAAAATGGTCTTACAAGTTACAAATTAATAACAAAAAAATTAAAATTAAAATTATATATCTTTTTAATAAAAAATTTAAATTTAAATTATTAAATTTATTTAAAATACTTTTGTTAAATAAATTGCAAGCAAAAATTACAGACACATAATTTGATACAAATTTTTTAAATTAAAAAAATACATACACAATCATGATCTGTGGAGAGAAATAAAAGAGAAAAAATTAAAGTGGTACTGAGTCAACTACAGAAGAAATTTGTTAATTTTTGTAGTATTACTTCAATTTTGAACTTTCTTACCATCAACTGCTTAATTGTATCTGAATTGTCTCTCATCAATCTTGAGATATAAAAGTTGGGGCAAAAGAAATAAAGATGTGTCACTGAATTGAAAATGAAACGGGCATTCAAATGTAAAATCATACTAATAATTTACATTATTTTTTAGCAATTCAAGTGTAATTGTACCCAAAAAAAAAAAAATCAAAATCAAAATCAAAATCAAAATTTCCGTCATAACAGTCTTCTGGGCCTTAAGGTTTTGGAAGAAGCTTTAGAAACCAAATACCCGACTCCGACTCCTAAACACATGACCCAAAACCCAACGTCTACGGCCCATCTGACTCCCTCCATCTCTGTCTCTATCATTTCCCCGCAATCTCCACCGTCCGATCCCTTCTCCATCTCATCGTCGTCTGCAGAGGAACAACAGCAGCAGCAGCAGCAACATGCGTCTGATTGATCAGTAGTATCGTCGACTTCTCTCTCCTCCGGTATCTCCTCCAGCCCCTGAAAACAGTACTTGGCCCTTGTCTTCCTCCTCACCACCACCTCCACCTTCTCACTCATCATCGCCGGCTCCTGCCCGTCCACCGCCACTGAAATCTCGGCCTCCTTCACCTCCACCCCAACCATCTCTCTCTCCAAAACACACTTACACTCCACTTTCCACTCGTCATTCTCATCTTTCCTGAAACTACCCTTGAACACCTTCTCGTCCCTCATGTACACCTCGAACCTCACTCCTTCGCTTGCCCTCACCCGCTCTCTGCTCCCGAATATCACCGTTTTGTTTGTCGTCCCTACCCCGGACACGACCCTATAGAGCGTCACAAACCCGGGAGAGTCGGCTTGGATCTTGGAGTCGCAGATCTCCAAGGGAGATCCATTGATTCGAGGGAGGTAATAGAGAGTGATAGAATCCGGTAAACATGTACGCGTATTTGAAACCCATAAACGGAGATAAAAGGCTTTGATCTTCAATCTCTCCCTCTCCTTCTGCTCATAACCTTTACACATCTTTCTCTCTTTCTTTGCTCTATCCCTTAGATTAGAATTGCTTTTGCAGTGAGTGGTGGTGGGTAGGTCGGTATGGGGTTAGTATTTAATAGGGTTTACGGGAAGATTGGCGGCGGCTGTTGGCGGTCTTTTGGTTTTGCAAGAATTCAGTGGGTGTCGTGGGCGTGGAGTTCGAGTTGAGAGCACACGGTTTTTTTTTTTGGATGACGTGACCAAAACGACAAGATTGTGCCAGACGGCACGGAACACTCTTCTGCCGCGTATTTGGATGCTGGTTTCGTTTTGCTAACTTATGTTGTTTTCTATCGACTGCTTCGCGAGGATACTACAAATTTACTAAGGATTCGTTTGAAATGTGTGTAATTTTTTTTTGACTATTTTAATTTTGGGCAAAAAAATCTCATTTGACATAAATTTTTTGGCTTTTTTAACTTTTATGAGAAAAAAATAAAATGATTATGATTTGAATGTGACATTTTGTCTTATTGAATTAAAAAATCTATTTTGCCTTTTAATAACTATTTTAACAAAAAATCTCATTTTAATTTATTCCAAACGAATGATAAATTGACTTTTAACCTATTTTGGATTACAACACCAAATAGGTATGGTCCAAACTCAATATTGAAAACTAAGTCTATACAATAAAGAAAAATATCTAAGAGTATTAAAAGTAGAATTCTAATAAGAGCTCTATTTATGTGGCAGTAGGCCCCACTTATGAATAATTTGATCAAAAATGTTTGAGACCCCCTTTCTCTCCCACCTCCTTTGACCCCCTTTCCCTCCCATTGGCCAGTTTTTCTTTTCTATTTTTTTTCTTTTATTTCTTCTCCAATCACCACTCACGACGTGTGTGTGGAGGTGGTGGGGGTGGTGATTGGAGTGGGTCTCTATCAATGCTCATGAATGATATATGTGTCTTATTTTTTTATGGGTAAATTACATTGACACCCTCTGAGATTTTGTTTATTACAGTTCCTGCCCTCGCTTTTTGGAAATTACATCCCCCTCTCTGAGGTTTAAAGTTTCATTACAGATTGCTCTATGAGATTTAAAGTTTCACAACAGTTCCTCCCTCACCGTAATGATCGCCGTACATAAAATTAAATTAACAAGGGGGTCAGTGTAATTTTTCAAATGTGAGGGAGAAACTGTAATAAACATAAATCTCAGGGAGTGTCAGTGTAACTTATACTTTTTTTATTTTTACTTCATGTCACGTCATTAATGTCATTGTTAGAGTTTCAAATTTAAAGTTCAACAATGCTAGAGGGCCACAATTTTTGTGGTCACAATGGCTCAAAACTGTCAAAACGACGTCGTTTTGGCATGTTTTGCACCTAAAACGACGTCGTTTTGACAGTTTTGAGCCATTGTGACAACAAAAATTATGGCCCTCAAACATTTTCCTTTAAAGTTATGGGTCATTGTTGTATAATAAAATCTCAACCATCAATTGAAATTTTTAGACAATTTTTTGGTGCAAAATTGTAGGTTTATAGAATTCTCCTTCGTAATTATTATTATTATTTTAGTTAAATTAGTTTTTTGGTAAGAAAAAAAAATATTTTTTATAACTTAAAACCTTTTTGTTTTGGCTAAATTAGTGCTCTTTGTCAATGAATTTGCCAAATGGATAGTGTTTGTGTATTTTAGATATCAATAGGGCTTTCCTCCAATCAACTATTTTGATTGCAGGGTCCAATTTAAGTTATTATAGGACATCTCAAGTCTATTTCAATTGTTTGGAGTATGCTATATAAGTATATTTTTTTATTTTGTAAGTCACACCATCTCGTTATTTTTTGCATATTTTTATTAAAAAATTAAAAAGTAAATTTATTTAGATTATCACAACCAACTCAAAAAGCTGATTGGATAACACTATTACATGTTTAAATTATATTTATTTTAAAGAAAATAGATAACAAGTATAATTTCATATATGGACCCATTCATTTTTTTAAAGCAAATATGATTCAATTATGTGGTTGTTAATATTCAATCAATTTAATTTTTTTTCATAAATGATTTATTAAAAATTGAACGATTTAAATTAAATAGTGAATTGGAGGGAAACCTCATCCTTTACATAAAAATGGGGTCTATCAATTTAAAAAAGTTTATAAAATATTTTTTAAAAGTAGTTTAAAATTAAAATGTACTATATCAATTTAAATTTAATGTAATGTAAATCACCGTCGGCATAAATTTGATCAAACGTATTTTAATTTGAAGTGTATATATATATTGGGGAGGATGCATTGAATTGAGGAAACTGATATGAGATATTTTAGTGTTTTGTAATGCAACCACACTTTCGGCGTTGTATTGGCAAGTTGGGGAGGTTGTTATGCAATCCAAGGGGCCTGGCCCTTTGTTTGTTTGGGTAGTGGATTGGGCAGCTGTAGTGTTGTCAGGCGTGTTTGGATATATTGTTGCACTGGGGCTTGGCCTCCTTATTGATGTGTATCAATTCTGTCAACGTGTGAGTAAGGTCTTGTTTGGGAATACTAGTTTTAGCAAAAGAGTCAATATAAATTATCAATTTATTTTTTATATATATATTTTTTTGTAAAAAATTTAAAAATTATTAAAAAAATCAATTCCGTAGGTGGTACAACATTTATTTTCCCGGCGATCTGATTTGTTTTTTCACTACTAGATATAATAGCATTTCCAACACTACAGTATATCTTAACTAGTTACAAAATACACTACTCAAAAAACAAATTTTAAAAATTACATAAATTCATGTGGTGTCTTTGCATAAATTCGAAGTCCAGAGCGAAGTGATGAGAATAAAATTTAGGGCTCTTTTGAGAAGATGGCTAAAAATCAAAAAATTTTAGCCTATTTTGAGTCACATCACTTCTCTACTTTTTTTATATATTTTTTCAAAATAAGTAAAAAAAAAAAAATAAATTAAAAATTTAATTTTTAACCAACTTTTCAAAACAAACCTTATGAATCCTTCACAATTATTTTGAAAAAGTTGCAACCATCCATTAAGCATTGTGACCTTTCAAAAGATCATGGGACACAATCACTAAAATTAATTTTCATTAATTTTTCTAAAAATGTATTGGGTTGGTTTCAATTTCTTCAATCTTATGGTTGATCACATGCTTGATGTGGGTGTTGATTTCTGACCACACAGCCATAGGGGAACCCAGTTGGAGAGCACCGACATAATAGATTAAGCCCGAACAACCTATCACAGAAAGGTAAGAATCCGGTGGTGGTTCGTCCACCCGGGAGCACTCCGACGGTTAAGTTAGTATTCAATATCTCTCACAGATAACAAATAGTGCTTAACTCACTAAAAAGAACATAAAAAGCATATCTTAAACCCACCGGGGGTGCCTCACTTTTATAATGATCAATGTCCAACTTCCCTTAGAAGACTTACTTCATGGGACTCTAGCACATAATGCTTATCTTGGACTCTTAGCTAGATAGAGATAAACTCCCTCAGAGCCTTATCCCTATCCAGTCCAGAGCCCTCTTTCATCTAGGACTCCTGCTCTTCCCTATCCGCTTATCTCGGATTCCAGTATTTACGTAGATAACCTCGACCTAGCCGAGATCATCTCGGCAATATGTCCAGGCCACGTGGCACCTCGGCTGACACTTCGGTGTCACATTTTGCCGCGTGACTTTATTCACAAAATACTTCCCCACAACTGTCCTCTAGGTTCGATTACCTCAGCAACCTAAGGTGATGGAACCTACATTGTTTCTTTGAGTAGCAGGTCAGCTATAGTTTTGCTCTACTTCATGACCGAGATCATTACTCGTCGGCTTCAAGTACTTAGTGCGCAACTGTTTACCTTTATCAAGGATCAAGAACCCAGAGTCAAGTTCTTTAAACATCTCAACCGAGATTGTTCATCTAGCCAAGGTTTTTTGCTTCATTAATCAAGAACTCCAAAGGTTTTGACTGCGCATGAGTTGTCACGCACAGTTTACTCAACCGTTTCCTCTACGCGTCTCGTTCTCATTGGTTCGTACCTGATACGCGCTATCAGGTCGTGTTACTTCTGCGCACGCCACCTGATAGACACGTCGTCCAAGGCGTATTCATTTCCTTTTGCCACCTTTTTGAGTTTTAACAAAACTCTCTTTCTTTCTTCATCTTCTCACTTTGCATTCTCTTATTTTTTTCTCTCTGTACTTAGACTTTCTCTCTCTAAAATCCTTCATTTTCGAACCTTCGAAACTCTGCCACTGTTCATCACTAGTGAATTTTCTAAGTCCTTTTCGATCAAGGGCAGCATCTAACTCCGGTGAACACAACTTCGGCGTTCCCCTGTTCGACCTCAATCGGTGAGTTCTCAATATCTCTTTTTAATTTCAGTCTTTTACTATTCTCTTTATTTGTTTTGAACCTGCCATTTATTTACATTGTTTGTTGTTGCCTTATATCTACGTTTATGTCTTGTTTTCATCTTCATGCTTTGATCAACATTTATGTTTCTTGAATCTTGAATCTGTGTAGTCTTTCGAAAATGCCAATCATGTTTTTTGCTTGAGACATTTGCACACTGTTCTTCAGACACTCACTTAGTGTCTTGAAGTTTTGGGTGTACACACCTGTTTTTTTGCTTCACCTATGATTTCTGAATTACATTTCTTTTTTGGTCTTCTTTCTCTGTTTCCAGATTTTTGCCTTTGATTTCTTGTTTCTACATAGACTTGGGTTTGTGGGTTTGATTTAGAGCCTTGTTTCTTTAGGAAAACTGAAACGAAATCCCCTCTAATCCTCATTCCAGTGCTTTCTAGGGTTTAGCCGAGGTTCCCAAACATTTACCAGTGATCTTCTTCTGAAATCTTATGCCATCTTCCATTTAAGCCGACGTTATGGACATGTTTAAGTGGAGGGTAGACACCCTAGAAAAACTTGAGAACTTTAGGAGAGAGTTCTCTATCCCAGTCAACGTTCAGATGAGATTGGCTGGGAAGGAGGACTCCATTATGCTTGATGGAAACTTTATGCCCTTCCCAATAGTTGCCTTTGTAGAGTGTGGACTCAGGTTTCCCGTATACATCATTTTTAGGGAAATCCTCCATTATTATAAGCTCAACCCCATGCAACTAGCCATCAACTCATACAGGGTTATCAATGGCATCATAGAACTGGCACGCCAAGAAAATGCTAG